AGGGAAACGTGAACAAAATTAGTTTCACTGCTAAATTTCGCGGGAAAATCGTCGTCACGTGACGTACGTCCCAATTCAATTTCTCGCTAAATTTAGTGGGGCGGTTACACCGATGGCGAAGCCGACACCGCGTAAATCGGAAACGGGTGCATAAGAGCTGCGATCTAAAATTCATTATTTGATTAACTCGCTTTCCGATCTTATCCACTTCGTCATATTGTCACACGTCAAACATACAACCAAATTTCAATTGTCTTTCAACCTTCAAAATGCGCGAATTATTAATGGGTCCAAATACCTGGAATAATTTCACTTTAAGGATGTTAAGAATAGTTAACCAATTGCATGAGATTCATGCAATTTAGATCAATCAACTAGTGTCTTGGCGAGTTCATATGACTTATTGCATGCACGACCGAAACGGGCCCATATATCATTATCAGGCGCTATATTTGCACGCGTATATGGCGATATATGGCCCATCTGGCAGTATTTGCCCACTTATATGACAGAATATTGCCGTATTCGCTCCCGCATATGGCGGAATATGGCTATATTTGACTTGTTATATTATCATATTTGGTCCTATATAAAATATATCACGGCCATATCTGACATTTTCGTACGGGCCGACTCGTCAGGAGTAAAGACCGCTTGTATGATGCCCTCGCCGTCCAAAAAGGGCCCTGAAAACCTTGGATTGGCCCCGTGCGCCATCACACGCTAGGCGCATCACTTTCAATATCGCTGACCGCCCTCCCCCCCCCCCCCCCCTCCCTCCCGTGGTGTTAATAAAAACTCGGTCCTTGGTTTCATATTCCAGGACCCAAACATGAGTACTGTTCTGGTTGCCAGCGGCAGCAGATATATGGGTCCGCTGAAGTCGTGGAAAAATGCCTCGCCGGGCGACTTCAACCCTCCACAAATTGTGGAGGGACGTGGTTAGGAAAATATCAAAACCGAAACAACGTACATAAGACTTCAGCGTACCTGTCCTGACGCAAGCGTCGGGGTCCAATTTTTCACAGAGCATTTGAACTGTAGTTTACGACGCGATCGGTAACAAGTAAAACCCGGCATACGAAGAAAATATTCTAGCGAGAACTACGGCGAGAACCACCGAGACATGTCGGCCAGTGCAGGTTTATGCCAGCAAAATGCGTGAATGGAGCCTAAATCAAGATTTGTTTATGCGACCACTCAGTTCTTTTAACTGCTGACCAGTCCAAGAAGTCCTGGCGTAGTCTTGGAGGGGACGTGTAGACCAGGTCGTTTTTCTTTATTAATTTTTAGAGTAGTCAGGAAAATATCCTGCGCTCTGTGTTACTTATGTGTCTGTTGCCGCTTAGGCCGCGTCTCGGGAACGTTTTCGGAGACCAGGTATCGCGTTTCCCGAATTGAGGGCGGTCTCGCGTGCGTACAAGACAGTTCTGCTTCCGCGGATTGTTTGTGGGCATGTTGGCTATTGTTTGTGTGCGGGCTTTGTTGCCCCCACGTGCAGTAGCTCGGTTGTCAGACCTGGCGGGAAAGCGCCGCTTTTCTACCTAGAGGCCGTTACCCCCAGGAAGTAGAGATCAGGTTGTTTTTGTTCCTGGACCTCGATGCAGCACCTTGAGCTACCGTCGGCAACGGTGGGAGGGGAGATTTGGAAGATGTGGTTCGGACACTGGTTGGGCTGAATTATACTTCTTGCTTCCTCTTGTTGTGATCGACGGCGGAGAGTCAATTGGCTTGGAGGCGAAGTTGTTACGAGTAGAACTGATCGAAAATACACTTTACTTCAACAAAAAAAATACAGACAAAATAAAATTTTACTGCAACTAACTGCCGCGCGCGGGTTACATAGTTAAGCACTTAAAAAGGCGGGCGCCTCGGCGTCAAGTGTCCGCCCGCTCGGTTGAAACGGCGGCTAAGCTGTCGCGCTCGAAAGAAGTAACGAGGCGAACCGCGGGAGAAAACTACTAAGCCACTCGGGCCCGTTCAAACTCTACAATTTTCCGTCCGGTCAGGGGTTATGACAGTGCGGCAAAACCTGCCCATCCAGTCAGCGTCTAGTTTGACTATCATTGGGTACAAGCCCCGGCGCGTTCTCATACAATCCAACGCGAGGTCACACCCATTGCCGTAGTGGTATTAAAATCGGGTCCCGCGGTTGAGATACTAAACCCCCAACATGTTTGTCTTCCATGGATGATATACTCATTCTCGGTTTCGGCGAGGATCGCCGATACGTGCTTCACCAGCAAACGTTCCATCACCACAGAGCGTGGGCAGGAGCCTAGAAATAAACTAAAAGCGCGCCAGACACATTCGGGCGCTGGGAGAAGCCGTTTCGCGGAGAATCCCACGAGGCTGGGTCCTTGCCGGCGCGCACACACCAGCCGCGCCCGGTTCCCCGCCCGCCAACTTCACGAACCACTGGAATCTGACCCGAGGGTTATGACGATGTCTTTCGAGCCGGAGACACGGCCAAATTTACAAAATGGCGTGCCAGCCGTCGATAGCACCACTCCGGTGCTCCGAGCGGCCGCGTAGATTTGTGTGGCCGGATGCCCCCGCCCTGGGTTAGAGGAAGACTCTCCGGCAATGACTCACCGTGGGAGAGGCGCCGGCCGTGCCCGTAGTAAAAAAAAAAACATAGGTTAAGGACGTATCGGTACTTTAGACGTATTCTTTATAGGAAACGCCGCTCCGGTGGTGCTCAAAGATGCGACCACCTCTAAGGGTGTTTCGAAAATATCCCCGAGTGGCTGGTGTTACCGACGAGGGAATTGGTATCTCTGAACAATTAATAACAATCAACACAGCACAATTCACGAGTATATATTTCTACGTTACTTGAGTGATGTATGCCTAAGTAGGATACTGCTCTGGGGTGTGCAAACTACCTACTTATACATTTTTACTCCACACGTTGTTGTATGGCAGCGTATGGAGAAAAATAATATATCTGTTGAATGATTTAACAAAACAGGAGAACAATTCTAGTGTTTTTCTTTACGAAGTGCCTTTTTCCCAGTAACAACTCTTGACTAACTTAGAACATTTTTTTCTGCAGTTCTTCGAGGCCTTTTAGATTAAGTTTTCAAAAAACCAACGACATAGCAAAAAGGGCATGTGCATAGCAGATCATAGTACGACTGACCAGCCCCATCATGATCACCAATTTCGCTCTAGGAGTGTTATAAGCCTAAACTCAGGAGCGACTAGTGGCAAACAATATTTCATAATTAAAGCTATAATAAGTATTAAGCTTGCTACATTCGATCTGTCCGCATGCTCCATACAGTGTACAAAGCCTTTCTAAATGACGTAGAAGATGTTAACGTCAGAGGAATTTAAGTGTGCTGGAAGCATAATGTTACCGTAGTAGATATGTTTTGTTTGCAACCGGGATATAGCACCAATGGTGAAGTTACGCACGTGACGTCACGAAGTTCACAGCTTTTCTAGTAAATTTGGTTCACGGATTTACGGCGTTGGTGGCAGAGATAACGGCGTGTGGCGTGATAATGCTTCAGCACCTTTAAGTTCAGCGTCGGACGATAGTTACATAATCTGACTGGGAGACTGAGCGGTGGCGGGTTCGGAGGAGGGTAAACTCTTAGATCATTCTTTCTTTGAACGTGACGCTCTGACATCACCTTATACCATGACGTCAGGGGACGTTACGTCATACGGCAGCGTGACGTGACGCGATACTGTGATTTAGCGTGACTCTAACGTCGCATGATTTCGTATTTCCCTTGACATTGTTGCATCACGTGACACCGTGATATTGGGTTTTATCATGATGTGGCACCGTGTCGCCATGTAATGTAACGTTACGGGAAACCGTGGCGTTAGGTTAAACCATGACGCGAGAACGGGATGTCACTGACGTGATACCATGACGTGATTTGAAACCGGAACGTTATATGACACTGATTTCCCCTGACGCTATGTAATGTCACAAGATTATATTACGTTAGGTCACAGGCCACATATTCCCAATGGTCTCGTCATGTCAATTTGAGCGCTTACGTCACGCTGGAACATAAAGTCACGTGACCCTTTGACAACGTGGTGTCACCATGATGACAGGTCGCAACATGACGTCACAGAGGATCTATAGGTGCTAGGTATATAAAGGACCTACGAGATATACCAAAAGGGGGGGATTTTATATGTATAAACTTGACTCATTACGGAAGAACCGCTAGTTGCAATACATAAGTGTCTGGGAGTTTATTACTCATCCATTTTAAGATAGAATGACGACAGCGATGACGATGCAGGCCAAGCATTTAAATTTTTGCGCTCTTTACACCTTATGGAGACGAATCTTAAAATGCATCGCGCCGCTATAACGAACGCTATATTACTCCGTCAAACGAATTTTAGATAACACCTGTATTCGCTTGTGACTGGGCACTCACACATCTGGCTGAGATAACTCAAATCTTTCGGCTGAGGTTTACAAACGAAACACTAACTTGAACAGAAATTAAAGAAAAAAAATGCTTGTCTCTTTTAAACATCGGAGACAATTTGCTTGTCTCTGCTAAACATAGTGGACACCTGAACAAGTGTTTAGGTGTCCCACTATGCTTAGCAGAGGCAAGCAAATTGTCTAGACACATGAACACGTGTGTAGGTGTCCCACAATGTTTTAAGGACAGGCCCGTATTGAAACAAATCTGGATATTCTGAAACTACACCTGGTACTTTCAAGGTTTAGTTATGCTGACTCTCGGCACTACTTTGTTCTCCTGCTTACAAGTTAAATATATATTTTTGATCCTTTTCTTTTTGTACGATTTTAAAACATGTTTTGTGCAATGTTATTTTTTCCTCATGTCTAGCGATTCAAAAATAGATTGCATAATAATATGAACTTTAATAAATATATATAAGCACGATGCATTCAGTTAAAGCCCTCTCATAATAAATACATTCAATGATAGCGGTGGCTTTAAAAAAAAAAGTTGTTAAAATGGTTCGGTTTTTATTTCTTACAGGTAGACCACCTAGCTGCAAGCTTGGTGTCCCTCGAACTTCCCTTGGGTTCCAGAGTGGCCATACTCGCTCCTAGGCTCTACGAAGGGGCACAGCTACTTTATGCGGCATCCAAGGCGGGACTTGTTATGGTAAGTGCGACTGAGTTATTCCGCTACACACGCTTACCGCTTGGGCACTGTGCGCAGCAATGTTTGTTTGTTCCCGTCCGTTGTTTTATCCAGGTTGGCATCAACCCATTCTGCACGCTCTCTGAACTTGAGTTTTGCTTGAATAAGGTAAGTCACATCTAGACCACAAACCTTTTCTTTATTTTTTTAGGCTCAGGCAGCCCGACAACCTTGATCCGCGAAACAAATGTTCTAAGCAGCTACATAGATGCGAAATTTAAAAACAAAATCTAGACGTAATCTTTAGTGCACTCTATTTGTAAGCATAAGAAGCAACGTCGTGTTGGGAACACGTCGTCACATGCCCCCGAAGCTCATTTTGCTCCAATTGTAGGCGCCTAAAGGAGGAAGCCGTGCTCTTCGTTTAAATGATTGACGATGAGTTTCAAACAGATTGCTTTCAAGAATTCGATCTTATATGAATAGCGTTATGTCGAGGAAAACAAAAGAGCGCCCCAAGCAAGACAAAGCAAAATATATCACGCATAGCCCATTGCAGGATATGAATATACATACAAGGTGAACTTTCGTGAAGATTAATCGTACCCTATTAAATTCATTATTTATACGATATATTTATCGGCGGGTTCAGCGGCAACAGAAGCTACTATCGTGTGATCCGCCGTCTGACGACTTCACTCAGCGCCACGAAGAGGAAGCGAATGAACTGAGCATAGCCCACAAGAGCCTGCTGCAGCAGGTGACCCAAAGACGTAACCCAGGTATCCCCCCTCAGAGAATCCAGGGCCTCATGGGGCGCTTGAGAACACACAAACAGGATAGCGCAGCGCGCCGATGGCAACACAACTCACCATGGAAGGCGATAAATAGCGTGGCCGACGAAAAAAGCCTAAAATGCTCAATTCATTCATTGGAGAACAAACTACCGCCGATGGGGTGCAAAAGGAAGTACGTTTAAGCAAAAAATGCAAGGCGTCGCTGCAAATGCGCCGCGTGACTTTGTCGCCGGTGAGCAACCAGGCGCATTTGAAATGCACAAAGGGTTAAGAAAACTCGTCTTTGTCATTCTGATCAGCATGGGGACCACAAATTACGTTATTAGTGCATTACGCGCGCCATGTGATTCGGTGTGTATGAGCGCGAAGAGCTTCAGATAGTGCCGGATACGTTGAACGCTCGACATATTCCTGCGCTGTCTGGAGTGTGTGTGGATTTTTTTTAGAATGATCGAGAGAAAGAATTTAAGTGGTGAATTTAGATCATTACTCTCTTTGTTTGCGAGGAGCCCATTTTGTGGTACCGTCACTACAAACGCGCCTAAATGATTTTTTTTGCTTTCCTTTGCGTTTTCTTTGTGACTATTTTGGAAGAACTCGAAAAAAGTTTAGGTAATTATGTTCAGTTTCTGGATGGACATAAGGTTTCTTGAAATGTGGCCCTTATGCGTGCGTGTAACTTTAAAAGAATATAACTTGGTAATTCATAATTTAAAATGGAAAGCAAAAGTAACGTGTTATTTTTTATGGTAAAGGTAACGTAAACACGTTCCTTTTGTTTTGAGGTAACGCATGTCGCCAATGCGTTAATTTTATTCGCAATTCAGTAATAATGTATTTCTTTTTTTTCTTTTTTTGTTAAAACCTAACACAATGGGCGCCATTGGTCATTCACGATAGTTCCCCGTCATGAAGGGTATTTGGCGGAGTGCACAGCGGTACACGTGAGGTTTATTCTTTTTGCGAATTCGTTTGAAATGTCTGTGAATAGGTGAGAAAGTGCGTCATGGGCTTTATGAAACCTTATTTTTTATGCTACGACTGCGCGCTTTTCACAGCAATGAGAACTTCAGTTTGACAATAATAAATGAGGTGCAGTGATTTGTTCGAACGCTGTTCACTTAGCTATTTTTTTATCTTAAACAATGACTGCCGATGGTACATATATATAAAATGCAGTTACTTTAGTTTCGTCTTTTCTCTTGGCAAGCTATCGCTGTGACGGTATCTTTTCACAGTAACTCGGGAAGCAGCAAACCCACTAATTCTCATTGACTTGAATCATACAGAAATTTGAGCATGCCCAAACCGTCATCACGCCGGGGAAAAAAACTTTAATCATGGTCTGCTCCCCCAAAAAGATATGTGCTACCTCTCTTGCCTCCTCAGTGACTCGAATAAGTCGCAGAAGAGGCAAAAGAGTTAGCGCAACACCCCTTCAGGACGCCATTTACAATTCAAGGCCTGTGCGCTTGGTCTCAACCATGTCTCACAAAAGACCCCTTCATTTCAGGCAGAGTGTGCGGCTCTGATCGTTTCGGAAATATTTACCGAGAAAGATTACTACAAGATGCTGCTTGAAATTGCACCAGAACTGGAGAATTCGGCACCGGGAGAGTTGAAGAGCAAAAGGTGATGATTTTGTAATTGGATAGTAGTTCGATATTTCAGTGGAACCTCCCAAAGGTCGGTCTTTGAGTGCCGTAATTATTGCTACCTCCTTCCAGGTTACCGTTCTTGAAACACGTTATCACCATAGGCGACAATAGGATGCCGTAAGTAACCTTAAATCTCGACTACGAGTGTCAGTGCTATGACTGTTTTCCAGAGTGGGTTTTTCTGGAGTTTATTTAAGTGAATTTATTCATCTGTGGAGGATTTGTCGAAAGAGCGACAAACGGAGAGGAGTTCTTCACTCCATTGACAAATCCTCCATAGCTTAGTAGTTGATTCCTAATAAAAACGCGAAGAGCTTCCCACAATACCAATTCGTTCTTATATTCGTTTCTTTTATTTCTATGGTCTTTGAGGACATAACATAAGAGTTAAAAGCTAACTTTAACGACAATTCGTGTGCGTAATTAAAACGTGAAACTAATCGTGTGACACATTTTACGAAAATGTATGTCTGTAAGTAACGACGATCGTGTATACCGCATCAAGAATCTTAGATCTAACACCAAATGCGCTACCTTTATTTGTGCTCAAGGCACCTGAGTCAGTTTCTGCGTAATATATATTATTTACCATACTACAGGCGTTGCGCAGCAATTAAACATAACTTTATCTCCGCCTAGTCAATTTTTAGACATCGTCTATAGCGGATTACGTTCAAACTACACAGATGTTCTTGAACGTTTGATGAATTTTATGCAATGCAAAATAAACATCATCGTTTTGTAAAATGGTTGCGCTATTTGGTAGTCACACAGTGTATGAAGTGAACACGTACATAATTTTAAGAGAGTCAACCGCCAGCAGAGAGAAAATCAAAGCATATGGTCATTAATGAAATTATTTGTTAACACATGTGAATTTTGACTGGATCTTGCAAGAAAAGTGTACATAATTTTGCGTTCAGGAAATCAGGACTTTATTTCGTTTAATTTTAGTTGAAGTCCCAATAGTGTTTAAACATTCACATATTGACATATACATCCGTTAACAAATATCTAGATTTTTTATTAATATGGGGGGGACTAATCAAGACGTATCTTCAAAATTATACCTTTAGTGCTGAAGTAAAATTTTGGTCTAACCTCAGGCCTACAATTTATGTGGTTTATGTACCGCACAAAGACGCCGAAACACTGACTTCTGAAGATCCCTATGACATTGAGCTAAGTATCAAAAAATCGCTTGTCCAGCGCACGATGGACAAGCACTTTTTGTTTGCTAGATCGATTTGTTTACACTGTAATACGTTGAGTCCCAAGCGCAGTAAATGAAGTTTGGCACCAACATAGGGTACTGCGTTATTAAAGGTGAAACCACATTATCGCCTGCTCTGAGCTTGACTCGATATATGCACTTGGGCCGTCAACTAGACTTAGATATGAGCACACTAAATTACACATGATGGTGCTTTGATCAATCACTGTTTTTTTTTAATGTCCCTGGTCGTTGTTGTCTTGCTCTATGCTTGAGTTGCCAATAGAACACGCGTCCCTGGTGCACAAGACCTCCTGCAGAAGAGACGCCAAAACATTATGAGCTCCCGAAGGGATGGACTTTATACCAAATACAATCCAGGTAGAACGGCCCAATAATCAAAATTTTAATGTTTTTTTTTTAATTTAAGGGATTGAAAAAAAAACGAATATGTTGATAGAGTTAAGATTGAACTTCTGATTCTAGACGTTAATATGTTGGCTCTAAATTGCCAAACGGTTGTCAGAGTTATGCTTCTTTCTACTTGGTTGGGACACTATGCGGAAACTTTAGGGCTTAATCGCCAACCAAGCACACGAGATGTAAGGTTCACTGATGGTTCTTCGGTTTCAAGCTTGCCATGGTTCATACATGCTAAGTCTGGCACTTTGGAAAATATGTGGCGAGCCAGAAAGACGTCATAGAAATGCAAAAAGACAAGTACTCCGGTAGTGAAAAACCATTGGGGCAAAAAACGGATTCGGCCTACTTTAGGTCCCGTCCCTCAAACTGCCAAGCATGCGCCTAGCTAGGTCTTTCCCTCGCGTGAAAGTTGGAAAGATTTTAAATACGAACAAAAAACCGAGTTTCTTGTTGTTTGTATTTAACAACGTATCCAGAGTATATTCATGAGAAAAGGGCAGTATTTTATAGACGAACGTAATTATATACAAATATTGGTTCCTTTTTTTAGATTCGAAAGCAGATTAGACGCCCGGATGTTTAGAGAATGAGAGGATGGTCAACTCTTAAGAAAAAAGAAAAATAAGCAAGTTGCTAGTGCAATTGGTTGTCATCTGGCGGTCAATGACTTATTTTTTTGTTTTAATGTGCAATCAGTTAATGCATCAACAAAAGTTAGATTTACTACGCTTAACCCAGCAAGAAAGAGGTCCAACCACTAATTTTGTTTAGCCCGGGGATTTTGTTTCAAGTGTTCCAGGCAGTTCAAGGTTAAAATATTCGGCAATCAATTTCACTTTGGCGGTGTGAGTTGTATATTTTTTGCGCATGACTATTGGAATTTTTTCTTAACCTTACACGTACAAAGTGAAATGCAATAATAAAAAGCACTTTTAGCGCACGTTGCTGCCGTAAGTACCTTCAAGTACAGTGCAACATGATTGGTTCCCGCTAATATCTGCTTCTCCCTTCTGTCTATATATTTTACTTTGGGAAGAGGGGGGGGGGGGGCGCTGAAAATAATTTCCCTCTTTAAATCTGATATGAACGCCTTGTGCGTTAAAGCTTTGAAGTAATTATCATGCTCCCTTTTTTGTGTTCTACACGTTCGCGTGTTTGGGCAGCTATGAAACGGGCGTGGGCGTAGCAACTCCATATTGAAGTTTCTTTTTTTTTTTAAATTTTATGTGTACTGCTAAAGGAACCAAAATACCCAACACTGATACCAGCTCCCAACACCGATACCAACTCTAATGCCTGACTGGACGATAATGGCGAGGTGCTTCTTTCAGATCTACGCTCTTCAGCACGTGTTGGCTGCACTCCGTCGTGCTTTGGATTCGCGTGCACGCTCTAAAGCAGTCATAGCCCGAAGAGCTTTTGAAGGTAGGAAGCTCGATTTGAAGTCTGGACAATGGAAATACCTCACCGCCGTTTTTATTCTTTTGGTTACCATGCGGGGTACAAGGAAGGAGGAAAGAAGAACAGGCGGAGGTGAGAAGGATTGTCAGTGTGTTCTACGAAGCTTTGCCCCAAGTACTGTTCCTCGACCTGCAGCAGAAGATGCGTCAGTCAAGAATTCCTCGTTCGTTCATACACGTCTTGTAGTGTCGACAGAGTCTGCCCAAAACCCTCTCGGAATTTTCTTTTGTAAATTATTCATTCAATATTAGTTTACAAACTTCTCAGGACTTTTCAAATTAGTTTCCTCCTGCTTCGATGTGCATCGTTGCCAATGCTTCAACCAATCACTGAAGGCGCCCTGGAAGCCGTCAACGGAAACGTTCTTGAGTGAGGTCGTCGCAGCTGATTTTACCGTCTCCAGCATCCAATGCCGAGTTCTTTTCAGGATTATTTTTGATTTTTGGGAACAAAACGAAGTCCGGTCGTGCCAGATCAGAGCTGTACGGCGGCTGGGGCGGCGTTGCCACACCCATTTTGGCCAGCAAGTCGGAGATCATGAGCGCGGTGTGGCATGAAGCGTTGTCATGGTGCAAGATCCAATTGTCGCGAATTTGTTTTAGGACGCGTCGAACCCTGTTGCGCAACCGTTTGAGCACTCAATGTAAAACGCCTTGCAGACTGTTTGTCACTGTGGTATGAATTCATTGTGAACCACACCTTTTCTGTCAAAACACAATTATCACTGCCCTGATTTGTGATTTGCTCATCCTTGCTTTTTTTCGGCGAGGAGACTCCGCGATGTGCCACTCGCTGCTCCGACACTTCGATTTGGGTTCGTACTTAAAAATCTACGTCTGGTGCCCTGTGATCATTCTGTTCGAAAATTCTGGGTTCGTTTCGTAGCGTTCGTGCTATTCCTGGCACTCCCACAAACACTCTTCCTTTATCTCACTCGTCAAGATGTTTGGCACAATTTTCGCGCAGATTTTTCTCATTTGAAGATGCTCCGTTAAAATGCGGTGAACGATTATTTTCGGCATTCCACACTCCTTTGCGATCATCCGAACAATTAATCGCCGGTCCTTGTTCAAACCTTGACGCATTTTTTGCACCGAGCCGTTCGTTTCTGATGTCGACGGGCGTCCCGCTCGGTACTCGTGGTAGACGGACGGCCGACCTTCCCGGAACCTTTCTGCTCCACATGAAAGTTTGGCTTTGTATCATCCAGTCCTCACCGTAGCTTTCCAAAGCATTTCGAGCGTCTCCGCCCCGTTTTTTTACCTAGTTTCCCACACCTCTTGATTGCATAACGCTGCTCCAAAAACCTGTCCATTTTTTTTTTCGGCAAGGGTGCAGGTGATACCTTTGCACGGACCGTGACCTGCCTCAACAACTGCCCCCAGGCAACTGAAACCGGTCTCGATTTAAAGCTTAGATCCCCCACTAACTTCTACGCCCAAAACCCTGCCCGCCAGGCGGCGTGTCCGACTACAAAATTATCACTCCAGGAAGTTGTGGGACAGACCCTGCGTACTTTGTTTAGGCTTAAGTCAAGACGCAGCCGACGCTACGAGCTGATGGGACCAATCAGACTGCGCCAAAAGTGAAACATAATGGTTACGTCATGTCTCTAAACGTTTTCTATTATTGCTGAACCAACCCTAAATAAAAGTGACCTCTTGACTTGCGCCTTTGACGCTCTTGGTTGGTTACATTACGTCGTAGCGTCGGCTGGGCCTAGACACAAGCTGAAACAAAAAATAGTCGACAAAGACGACGTACCTGTAGGGGAATTTCGTCTGGCCTTCGTCGAATACTGAGACGTGGTTCGTAAGCACCATATGAATTTCCGGCGGGACCACTAAATGCTAGACAGCCCTTTCTGCACTCAGCTCGCAATGCCGGCATTCGGCCTACTGCTAGCGATGTGTGTCTTACCTGTTCGACGACATTTGGAAAGCCACAGACTTGTAACGAAAGAGAGCTCAGTTTTATAGGAAAGGGGTAGGAAATTTTCATAAGGGTACGTTGTCTTGGC